CCCTAAGAGATAAAGGCACAAGGGAAATTGCCTCGCCCCGGGAGTACCTTCTGGCCCAAACTGGGTGCCCAGTTGGGTCTTATGTGACAATCCCAGACCAAGTCCCTGTGCCCCAGAAACTAACAAACACAGGATTTTCTAATCGATCCCTATGAGGAGGGGAAGTCCTGAGCCCCGGTGTCAGGAAGTGGGGCTGGATAGGAGTGCAAGGTGGTGGAAGGAGTGGATATATTGGCATAATGGTCAGAGCAGCTAAGACAGCTTGCTTGGCTGGAGGAGTTGAGGTTTGAAGCAACATATTCTCGCTCTCATTCCCTTCCTTTTTTAATTTCCCCTGATGTAATAGCACACATGCTTACACATAAAGGATTTCATTATTCTTCCCTCCTTTCTCACAGAACAGCCACCATAAAATCATAAATGGCAATTGCTCATTTCTAACCATCAAAAGGATGCCTTTTTGCTTTGGCATCAACCAACCAGGCTGAATTCTGGGATGGGGCTTTTGGTGATTTTAGGAACCAAGTGGAACCCTTCTCTTCTCTCTGGGAATGTCCCACAGACTTCCCCCCCCCCCTCCATTTGACATCAGTAAAAGCTCTAAATATCGCAAAATTGATTTGGTTGTAAATGGAGAAACAGTACCAAACAAAATGAAATGAAAAACCCGAGGGACAACAGAAAATCCTAAATAAATCCTCAAGTTTGGTCCTGGGGTTTTACATATACCAACGACACAGGAGACCACAAATGACATAATTAACACAGCAAGGGTAGCAGTACATGGTGCACAGGGTCCCAAGATAACCGTGCCTAAACCCCTTCTGGAGATCCTAACAGGTACTGTGGCCACACATTGTTACAATAAAATATATTCGTCCCACTCATGGGTTCTTGGCTGTAATCCGATCATTTATCAAAACGTGCCTCAGAGGACTTTCATTAGGGATAGTTGAAACATTTCCCCATTTTTAAATACAGAAATGCAAGACAAACAAAACACAAATGGCACACACAAACGCTAGCATCCAAAGAAACAAACGAACCGGTTCACAAATTAGGTAAAAGTTCAACAACTCCTTCCTCTCTCCAGTGAGGTGCCCCCACTCAAATACAAAACAAATTGGCTTATTCCAGACAAAAACCCCCAAATATAGAGGAAATAAAGTTTCCCGCTGTACACACCGGAGTGACTTACCCTACAGTATGGAGCCTATTAGCTCCCAAACGTGGATTCCTTCCTCTACCTGCCAAGTGCTGGGGCAGTCCGTGCTGCTTCGGGGAATTTTGAAGGGCAGATCCTCAGGACGAGTGGTCCTGGCAGCTTCTAGGACCTTACCCAATAATTCCTCAACCAGGGCCAGCTGGCCACGAGCAGCGAGGCTTGCTCACCGAGTCGAGGCCCCTACTGCTCACTGCCACAAGCCGATAAATCAAGAGATGAGTTGTTGGGGGGCAAGGAATAGCTACTTTACTTGGAAAGCCAGCTGACCAAGATGGTGGACTTCTGTCCCAAAGAACCATCTTGCCTGAGTTAGAATTCAGCTTCTTTTATACCAAAAGGGGAGGGAGTAAAGTCAAACATTTCTTGCTTCTGGTCAGCCTCCAGAAGGGATGTGTTAATTTCTTTCTTCCTGCACAGGTGGGCCTGGTCAGGATGTTTCCTGTGAGCTAACAAAGGTATTTTATCTTAATGCTCATTACCTGGGAGGCAGGGTTCCCAGAGACGGGCCATTATGTGTAATTTAAGATTATAGGCAACATCCCTTTAGTGATTAAGTTGTAACAGAACACAAAGGTTCTTCCCTATTACGTGATCACCCAGAGTAAAGTAGCCCTTCACTCTCAAGTCATTGCCACGACCGGTTGTCCCCGGCCCCACCCTCATAAACATCTTAGATTATTTTCTGCTTTCTTAGTTATTTTCTGTCTCCTCCCCGCCCCCACCATAATGTAAATGTAAGGAGAGCCCAGATCCAAGGCACCCTCAATGCCTAACAACACTTGGTGCACAAGAGGCCCTCCATAAATAGCGGCTTCGTGACTGAGTACAGCGGCTGTGCACACCGACATACAGATGCCCAGACAGTTGTAGAGTCTCCTTCTGGGGACCACTGTCACGCCTTAGACTTGAGAAGAGAGCATTCCCAGTCGCTGACACAATCCAGAGACAAAAAAGAAAGACCCCAAGCCTATCCCAGATGAAGCAGGAAGATGAAGCCCAGATGGAGCTGGAAGAGACAGGAGACGGGATCCAGAGGCAGAGACCCAGACCCGGGGCGAGCTCCAGAGAGAGGGACAGAGAGGGACCAGACTCAGCGAACTAGAGAGGCGGGCCCGCGGCAGCCCGGGCAGCAGCCGGAGACTGTGCCCGGAGGAGGGGTGCGAGCGCGGGGGAAGACGGTGGACAACCAGCGCCCGAGCCCGGGAGCCCGGGCCACCCCGCCCCCGCTCACAAGTGGCCGCGGCAGCTGGCTGGAACCGGGCCGCCCGCCGGCCCGACGCGTGCGGGATCAAAGCGGCCGGGAAGGGGTGGGCGGGGAATGGCAGGAACCTGGAAGTGTGAGCGAGCTTCCCAGGGGATGGCCGGAGCGTGGGAGCACAGAGGGCCGGGAGGGGACAGAGTCCTGGAGAGACGATCCCAGAGATGAGACGCAGACGCGGAAAGAGATGCAGAGGCCGGAGAGACCCGGAGCCAGAGATACAGAGACCACAGAAGACCCAGAGAGACCCAGTGTAGCCGTTGTGAAGATACCTGGAAGAGACAGAGACGCCGATAGAAGGCGGGACAAAAAGGCAGTGACCGTGGACTTAGAGAAAAAGAAGGCGGGCTCCAGAGAACAGAAACAGAGAGCGAGGAAGAGAAAAGGAAAGAAGACCAACTGGGCCTTAGAGCCCAAGGGGCGGAGGACCTCGCCCCTCCCCCGCGGAGGGCTGAGAGGACCCCCGGGGCAGGGATCCCAGCGCCGGGTCCTTTCTCAGGGTCACGCCTGCGGAGGTGCGGGCAGGGGGCGGAGGGAGGGGTGTGGACAGCCGGACCCCCAGGCTGGGAGGATGGGAGTGTGAGGACGTTCGAAATCAGGGTCTGGATCCAGCGCCTCAAACTCTGCTACAGAGTAAAAAAGCTAAGTATTAATATTGATATTTGGTAGAAATCTTAAAGATGCCTTTCAGATACATCAGAAAAGACATCTTTGGAGAAAGGACGAAAAGTTAGACAATGCATTGGCCGGGAATCGAACCCGGGCCTCCCGCGTGGCAGGCGAGAATTCTACCACTGAACCACCAATGCAAGTGAAGGTGGCGCTTCGGTAGATCCAACTCAGTTTGTAAGGAGTCGAGGCGACTACAGCCAGGAAGGCTTTATGGCCAGGAAGGCTTTATAGCCAGGGTCTTCGCAGAGAAACGGTCCCAATAGTTGACATGGGTGGAGCGCCAGGCCATCCTTCCTCCCGCCTGGATCCGGTCACCGGGCCATAAAGTCGCCCCATATGGCCAGGGGCGGCCCCACACCCGGGTGCGAACTGCCGCTGGGGGCCCCGAGCCTCGCGTGCAGGTGAGAAAAACTTAGCCCAGCCCAGGTTCCCAAGGAGGGGGGCAGCGGGGGGTTCTGGGGCCACACATCTGCGCTCCCATTTGGCTCAGGTAGGGGGAGGTGGGATGTGCTGGGTTCCCTGATTCCAAATGGGAGCGCCCTCCCCAAGGTCTGTGTTCCCCTGGCTCGGACTTTGGCAAGGCAGGCTCCGTGAAAAAACCAAGCTGTGGACGGGCGCTGGGAGGGCTCGGAGGAGCCCCATCCGTCTCTGACTCCGCAGCTATCTTCTGACTCGGTCTGCAACACCACCGTGTCTTTCTGTGTCCTTGTCCCTGGCATTCTTGCTGTCCCGTTAAATCTCTGATTTTATCTTCTCAGGCACTTTGTCTTGAAGTCTTCAAGTCTCACGCGTCATTCTGCAGAGTGGCATACTCTTGGTTTGAGGTGGGTATTGATCCCTTTTTATTCCCTTATCGTTTTAAGAAAACTGCCTTCTCCTTGTCCCCCCCGTAATCACAAGGGGTCCCCAGGAGCAAGCAACACGAGCTCACTTGTATCAGGTGTCCTGGCAGCCGCACCCCTGAATCTCCTATAATTAGTTCTGAATCAAATACTTCTAAGTGGAAAGATCTCTCCACCCGTGCTTCAAAGCCTTGCTTCCTCTTCCATGAGGCTTCCCCCACCCCAGTCCAGCCGTCCCTCACGATGACCCTTTCCCAGAGCACCTAATTCACTGTGCTTCTAAAATAGCTACTTGACAACACATCAGCGTTTTCTACTGAAACTTGCAGGAATAAACTGGGCCTCCAGTCCATAGCTCAGTATGAACGGTCCCAGCCTAGACCAGTGCCCAGTGGGCACAATGAACACGCAGATATTGGGGAACTGAATATGACTGACTTAGGTTGAACAGAGCTTCTCTTCCACCTGCAAAGTCCCAGTTGAATAAACGGATCCAGCCAGCACACTCAGGTAGCTCATTATCTCAAGTAGGAGGTGAATTTTGGGGAAAGATGTATAGGATCCAGCCTAGGGGCTGAGGGGTGCTAACTTTTCGATTTCAGGGTTAGTGGGGGGTACAGTGAACTCCCAAGAAAGCTGAAATAGTGAACGGGGGGCACTCGGAACTCCACTTCTGCGTTCTATCCCCAAACTACTCAAGCTCTCTTCTCCTAATTACCTCCTCCCTTCAGCTGGGCCCCACCTCATTATACAGCCTTATGGTCCTTAAACAGCCGGTGCTGCACTGGCCTCTCATTTCCCACACTCCCAGGCCAGTTCCACTCGTACCCCGCCCCCTTGTGCTCCTCCTCTTTCCGGGAGCCTCGTGCCCAGGGTAGAGTCGGGCAGGAGCCAGGTGCCGAAGGGGCGGGTCCGGGTCTTTACCACCCCCTACTCGGGAGCCTGCGGGATATAAGGCTCAGGGAGAGCGGGGACTCGGTCCACACAAGGGTCCGGAGGAGCAATGGTTACCCGGGATCGAGCCGAGAATAGGGACGGCCCCAAGGTGAGAGGCGGGAGGGTAGGAAGCAGAGGTCCCCGGGCTGGTCAGGGAACAGGGTCCCTGAGACCGAAAGTCAGAGAAGAGGCTGGAGATGCAGGGCTGAAAGGGGGGAGAGGTGCGTGGGGGACCCGAGGAGCCAGGAGCTGGGGAGGAAGCTGCGAAGTATGGAGAAGGGGTTAGCGTCAGAGCTGGCACTGGGTGGGCGGCAGAAGCAGAGGTCTGGGGGGTGGGTAATGGCAGTTGACACCTTGCGGCCTGGCGGGCTTGGGCGGGGTCAGAGTCCGAGTAAAGTAAGCAGGAGGAGCACAGAGCTAAGGGAGGAGTGGAAACAAAAAGCGGAGAGGATAGGCCCTTGCTCCACGCGGGCTGTGAGCCGGACCTGGGCCAGTGCAGCCTTGTCTGGAGGGCATTGGTTCCAGAGGCCCGAGCCCAGGTGGAAGATCTTAGAACCAACGGAGAAGGGTGACCGCACAGACGGGTTAGTGGGAGAAACGGGGGCGCGGTCGCGCTGGGTATCTCCCTTTCTACACTCAGGGCCACCAACTCAGCCCGGCGCCTTGCGGCCCACGTGTCTGGGCGCAAAGAGGGCCCCCAAAGTTCTCCACTGAGACACAGAAAGACTGCACGAGACGGAGACGTAGAGAGAAAAGAGGAGGAGGAGAGACACAGAGAGGGGAGGAGGGAGGACAAGAAAGAGGAGAATGCACAAGACCCGGGAGAGAGAGGAGGCGAGCTACAGAAATTGACCCTAGGGGCGTTGGGAGGGGGAGCGGAGAGGGATCGAATGGGCCCGGCCTTAGGTTCTCTGGCGTCTTGGGGAAGGGGTGGAGGCCGGACTATCCCAGCGGCGGGATTCCGACGCCCGCGCGGCCGCGCTGAGTCTCGGTCGGGTCGGCCCGCTCTCCCTTTCCTGCTGGTCGCAGATGCTGAAGCCGCTTGTGGAGAAGCGGCGCCGGGACCGCATCAACCGCAGCCTGGAAGAACTGAGACTGCTGCTGCTGGAGCGGACCCGAGACCAGGTCAGTTCTTCCGCCATCATCGGACTCCCAAGCATTCTGTCCTCCTGTCTCAGGGCTTCCCACTTGGGTGGGGACATATGCTGCTTTGGCGACCCTGGCCCCAAGGCATCCTGACCCTTCGAATCCCATCCCAGACCCCCTCTCGCTCTCAGAACGCGATCTTCATCGCCACCCCTCGGGTCTGTAAGTTTCACACCCGGCTCTGTATATTTCATTCCCGGGGTCAGTCAGTTTCAACCTTTGGGTCTGTAAATTCTCCCTCCTCCTCCCCCACACTCCCCGAGATAGTCAGCGGGGTGGTTACTTTCTTTCCCCGGGTTTGCTGTTCAAATCCGCTCCTCACACTGTGGGTTGGTTTCATGTCCTCGGGCTGGACAGTCTCCTCTCAGGGTGGGCCAGGACCATTCTTGGTCATCTCCACTCCGCATTCGGTAGCGCGCTCCGTGGTCCGCGCACAAACGCGATCCAGGGGCACCCCCAGCTCCCGCATCCCCCCTCCCTTCTCCCCCCTGCCACTTTCCCCCTCTCTCCCCACCCCTTTCTGTCTCTGCGCCCTCCCCTCCCATCTGTAGAACCTCCGGAACCCGAAGCTGGAGAAAGCAGAGATACTGGAGTTCGCCGTGGGCTACTTGAGGGAGCGAAGCCGGGTGGAGCCCCCGGGTACAGCGCGGGGGTGGGGCAGCGGAGGGAGGGAGGGGAGAATTTACTGGGGCCCGGGCCGGGGTAGATGGGGCGGACCCTGTGGTGGACGGTGGGCTTGGGGTGTGGCATACTCCGCTCCGAGGCGAGGTTAATAATACCCGCGCGTGTCTGTCTCTGTGTCTCCCTCATTTTCTCCCTCTGTCGGTCCACCTGGCTTCCTGTCTCTGTCTGTGCGCCTGTCCGGCCTCGGTATCTCTGCGCCCC